ATATATATATATATATATATATATATTTATTAATTAATTTATATATATATATATATATATTTATTTTTTTATATATATATATATTATATTTATATATATATATATATATATATATATATATATATATAAAAATATAAATATATATATATATATATATATATATATATTTATATATATTTACTGAAATATATTGAATATTGCCAAAATTCCAGTATTTCAAATATATGTAAATATATTTGGGAAGAATGTTTTTAAAATATATTTCAAATATATTTTTCTTTCATGTGGGAAGGCACGCAACTATTTATTTAAAAAAAATACATAACGTATTCATTTTTAAAATGTGTTTTATATATATTTATTGTATAAACCTGGCTTTTCCATCATCAAAAGGTTCATCCTAATCACAAAACACATTCACCTTATGCATTTACCCAACCATCTTAGGTTTCCTTATTCAGGTGTCCGTTTATGACACAGAGAATAGCTGCGATTCAACAGATCTCAGCTATTCTCTGGTCATTCACAGTTTATGACACTCAGGAGATCATGTCAGCCCTTCTCTGGAGATCTGTGTTCTCCCTCCAGATTCTCCAGCCCAGAGCTGGAGAATCGGAGGGACCGCAAACTAAGCAGAGATAATTTACCTCCGCTTAGTAAACTGATCTTTTACTGTAATCTGGAGAGATTATAGTAAAATGAGCCATTTTTCAGAGTTTGTAGACCGTTCTCCAGCGTTTGGAGACCGTTCTCCCTTCGTTTGGAGAACTGCTTCATAAACTGCATTCACAGGAGAACTGTGTTCTCCGAGAATGCCGGAGAACTGAGCAACGATCTATTACTGCTGGTTCATAAACGGACACCTCAGTTGGAAGGGCAGGTTCAGTAGCATCAAAGGATCTCTAAGCAAAACCTTTTTAATTTTGTTTTGAACAGAGTAGAAGAAGGTTAAAGTCTCTATCAATTTATTTAGCCATCTGAGTCTAATCAGGAAAATTTCCCTTCAACTTCCTGTTGTATAGCCTCAACATATCTATCCAATGTTAGAGAAATTCCCAAGACAGATATCACACCAACAAGTGTACCCATTAGAAGATTCCTCCTCTATTCCTGTTCTTGTGGCATCTAAAAGTTTTAGGTTTTTTTCTCTTTTGTCATTGTAGACCTCTAGAATAGATTGGTTGGGGCACTGTGGCCTTTACCATTGAACCATCATCTGTATGGTCATATTCAATTTAGTATAATAACTCTACGATATGTTAGAGAAGGGGGTGCAGAGAATTACAATTTGTTTTGTTTATGAAAGATATACAGTTGTGTTCAAAATAATAGCAGTGTGTTGAAAAAAGTGAATAAAGCTGAAAATCCTTCTAATAGCTTTTATTTCCATCCACACAAATGCATTGGGAACACGACACATTCTATTCCAAATCAAAACATGAAGAAAAATACATCAAATTTGTGTTGTGCCTCTAAAATAATTGAAGAAAAGTGAATATTAGACGGTTCAAAAAAAATAGCAGTGTTTATATTCTTCTTTACAAACTCAAACATTCACTATATAAACTGAGAAATGTTTGAAGATTTTGCTTTCCTTTGAATGACTTCATGAATATTTGGTTGTAGTCGCAGTGTTTCTGAGAACTGCTGTACATCTGTGTTGCATGGAGTCCCCCAACTTCTGGCCCCTGTGATCAGGTATTCCAGCCCAGGATGATTGGACGACATTCCACAGTTCTTCTCTATTTCTTGGTTTTGCCTCAAACGACATTTTTGATGTCACCCCACAAGTTTTCTATTGGATTAAGATCCGGGGATTGGGCTGGCCACTCCATAACGTCCATCTTGTTGGTCTGGAACCAAGATGTTGCACGTTTACTGGTGTGTTTGGAGTCGTCTTGTTGGAACACCCATTTCAAGGGCATTTCCTCTTCAGCATAAGGCAGCATGACCTCTTCAAGTATTCTGATGGATTCAAACTGATATCCATGATCCCTGGTATGCGATAAATAGGCCCAACACCGTAGTATGAGAAACATCCCCATATCATGATGCTTGCACCACCATGCTTCACTGTCTTCACAGTGTACTGTGGCTTGAATTCAGTGTTTGGGGGTCGTCTGACAAACTGTCTCCGGCCACTAGACCCAAAAAGAACAATCTTACTTTCATCAGTCCACAAAATGTTCCGCCATTTCTCTTTAGGCCAGTCAATGTGCTCTTTGGCAAATTGTAACCTCTTCAGCACATGTCTTATTTCCAACAGTGGGACTTTGCGGGGGCTTCTTGCAGATAGCTTGGCTTCACATAGGCGTCTTCTAATTGTAACAGTCCTCACAGGGAACGTCACACCTTCTTTCATCTTTCTGGACCTGATTGTTGGCTGAGTCCGCGCCATTTTGGATATTCTTCTATCCATTCCAATGGTAGTTTTTTTCTTTCTTCCACGTCTTTCAGGTTTTGGTTGCCATTTTAAAGCATTTGCGATCATTTTAGCTGAGCAGCCTATCATTTTCTGCACTTCTTTATATGTTTTCCCCTCTCCAATCAACTTTTTAATCAAGGTACGCTGTTCTTCTGAACAATGTCTGGAACGACCCATTTTCCTCAGAATTTCAGAGAGAAATGCACTGTAACCAGCATGTACAAAATTTGCTGCGTTCCTTCCTTAAATAAGGGCAATTATTGCCACCTGTTTTTCAAAGAATGAATGACCTCACTAATAGAACTCCACACTGCTATTATTTTGAACATGTCCCTTTCAATTAGTGATTCAATTACACAGAATCAGCAGCATGCATGTCATGACTGTTGGGTCTGTTGGATTTCTATTACTCTACTACACCTGCTAGTAAATTATTTGCCATGTAGAAATGTCATTTCTACCAATAACAGTGATTGATCCGGTTAGTGATGGCTGACTGCTATTATTTTGAACACAACTGTACATGGCACGACTCCCTTTGGGGGGGGGGGGGGGCAATAGGTTTAGCTGGTTCCTTCCCAAAACAGTGCATAGGTAGCCAGGCACACAGCAACAGTTCAATCACTCCGGCTCAAATAAATAGTCTAGGGTGGCCTTTTTGTAATTTATTGTTGTAAATACTTGTAGCTGAAGAGGGGTTGGGCCATGGAATAATTCAAAATGATTAGCAATTAACTGTAAGAGGACAATCTTCTCCTTAAGCACTTTGGATCACTTCCAGGTCTCAGCTCTGCCACCCTGAGACCCTGCAGATCAGAAACCCAGTCCATAGGTTGCCTGAAGGGCAAAAGCCCCTTCTTAAGGCAAGGAATGCTCTTACACAGGAAAAGAACCCTCTTCAGGGCTCCAGACTATTTATCAGCCTCCCCAGCCACCATTTTGGCACAACTTTCCAGGAATTGATCTGTCCTTGATAAATATTCAAGCTGGTTGTTTGAATTCTCCCTCCCTAAACTCTAGAAACTTCTTCTAGTGGCAAGGGGAAGCAATCAGACTCCCAGTCTGTGAAGCCCTGAACAGATCTAACAAACGACCACTGCTCCCTTGACTACAGAAGGAGTAAAAAACAAAATTTTCTCAGTAGCCTTACTAGGAGGGTGATACGTATTCATTGGGACTTACTGTATGTTGACAGTTGCTAAAAAGACTTCCTAATCCCTGTTTACACAGGTCTGCTCTACGAGCACCCCCCAAATACATAACTAAAAGACAATCTTGTATGATGTAAGCTCCAGCCAATGTAAATCTCAGCTCCATCTAATGTATTTTTCATTTTTATATTGAGAAAGAGCTAAAATGTTGGATCAAGTTCATATCTTTGTCTGTGACCCCATTGGATATAAATTCCCCCACTTCCTGTCCCTAGGGAATGTGCTTGTCACTGGGACAGGAAGAGACAGACAACAATAAACCATTGCCAGGAGTTCTAACTCTTCTTGCAATAATTGGTAGCTCAGTTACTGTTTGTAGAAGTGTTGGCAGCCTATTTGTAGGGTGCTTCTCAAATACCTAACTGTCAAGGTCCTACCTTTTCCCAGAGGTTATGTTACTCCATGTGCTGGCATCCATCTTGGATTTCTGCTGAGCATGGTGGGAATCCTTTATGCCTTCAGGTCTCTGAGGTCCATCCCCCAGAGGGGTGTGGCTGATGACATATAAGCCTATGGTCCGCATATGCTCTTTGCACTTGTGTCTTTGTGTTGCTATAACTCTGTTCTGACTCTCGTGACTCTCCTGGAATCTGACTCAGCTTGTGACTCGACTATTCTTTGTGTTCTCCCTTGATCTGACCCTCTGTTGCTGGACCCGGCTTGTGACCTGTGATTCTTGTCTGCTGTCCTGTACCATTTTTTCCCGTTGTTGCTGACCCGGCCTGCCTGACTACTCTATTGTCTTTTCCACCAGCTACACGCCATTGGCGGCGGCCATTACCGCAACTGAGGTTTCTCGGGGGCCGTGACCTGGTTTCTGGCTGCGTCAAACCATCCCCACCATCAGGGGCCCTAGTGAAGGGCAGCCTGGGACTTAGACTCCGCGCCATGAGGGACTTCGGTCTGTGGGTGGTGGTTGTCGTCAGCCAGTGCGTTACATTGTTTAGGCCTGCCTGTCCGTTCCTCAGCTCCTGCCCTGACACTAACCAGGAGGAGACATGTATAAAATAGAACTCCAGTCAACCTAAAGGCTTTCTCCAGCCAGATGTTTTATTTTTGATTTAAGTTTTTTGATAGTATAGTAACATTTCTGTTAGATTTGTATTTCTGTTTGTAACTGCATTGGGGAATTTTTAATAAAAAGTGACAGAACAGTTGTCTCCAGGACAGAAAGGCATGGACAGCAATTAAAACATTGTCAGGTGTCAACTCATTGTCATTGTCAACTCTTCCAAATGTTGATAAATATATGGTTTTGCTGTTTGTCTGTGTCCCCACTGGAGAGATTTCCTGTCACAAAAGTAACCTACAAATATGTGATCTAAAATTTTAAATTGTTTCATTTTAGACCGTAACTGAATGTTATGGAAGACATCAATCAAACATCTCCAGAAAGATTCATCCTCCTTGGTCTATCCAACGTTCCATATCTCCAGGCCATCTTCTTCCTTTTGTTCTTTATGATGTACATAATGACGTTGTCAGGAAACCTTCTGCTGATCATTGTGGTGAGGATCAACCCAAAATTACAGACCCCCATGTACTTTTTCCTGAGTAACCTCTCTGTTATTGACATCTGTTTCTCATCCACCATTGTTCCCAAACTCCTCGTGAATACCGTGGTCATGGACAGAAGTATCTCCATGTTGGGATGTGCAGTACAGATGTACTTCCATTTGGCATTGGGATCAACAGAATGTATAATTCTAGCTGTCATGGCGTATGACAGGTTTGCTGCCATCTGTAGACCATTGCATTACAACACCATCATGAACAAGACGTTGTGTGGCAGTTTAGCTGCATGTTCATGGAGTATGGGATTCATGAACTCCGCCATCCACGTTGTCCTCACCTTTCAACTCCCTTACTGCAAGTCTCACCATGTCAACCACTTCTTCTGTGAGATGCCGCCTTTTTTTTCGACTGTCCTGCAGAGAAACGCGACTTAATGAAATAGCTACTTATGTTGCTACGGGTATCGTCGCTATGTGTTCTTTTTTCTTGACATTTATTTCATACATCCAGATCATCACCACCATCTTGAAAATAAGTTCTTCAAAGGGAAGACTTAAAGCTTTCTCTACATGTGCTTCTCACCTGACTGTGGTGGTTCTCTACTATGGGACCATCATGTTTGTGTATCTGAGGCCCCGCTCTACTTACTTTGCAGAAACAGACAAAAATTTGTCCATTATTTATACGGCTGTGACACCGATGTTGAACCCTATCATATATAGTATGAGGAATAAGGATGTCAAAAACACCATTAAAGCAAAATAGACAAAAGATAAACATTTAGGAAGCTAACAAGCCTTTGTTTCATTTTTCTTCATTAAAGCGGAAATTCACCCTACAGGCGAAGTTCCTGTTTATGTCCTTGTCCCCATCCTCTTCCACATTTGGCACATTAAATTTTTTGGGGGGGAGTGAGATACATGGCTTTGATAGGTACCCGCTCTCACTTATGCTCAGGTCACCTAGGCGATCCAAGTGAAAGTTTAGCCCCCCATTTCTTTGTCCGCAGGCAAACACTGACAGGGAGGAGGGCTGCATTGTTTACCAACAGTATCTATACTGCCATTTATAAACGCTATTTTTTTTTAGCAAACACATGTCGCAGAACACATTTTGGCGTAAATTTATGACAAAATTTGATTTTTAAAATTTTTTTACTGTACATGTTTAATTTTTTATAGAGCAAAAAATAAAAACTGCACAGGCAATCAAATACCACCATACCTTTAAAATATGTACGTATATATGAATGTAAATAATAACAGTGCAGCGCTCAAAATGAATTTAAAGGTAATATAATATCAATGCGATATCCGCAGTGCTGTCTGGATTTGATGAAAACTTCCAGACTTTTACTGCTTCAAATAATAGCAATGCGCACTCACCAGAAACGCATGGATTATGCGCATGTAGGCATAATCATTCCAGATGTCAGATCCATCGAAGACCAGGTGGTGGGCATCCCTCTCACGGTGGGTCATCAAGGACTCCAAATCAGGTCCAGAGGTCCCCCTTAAGGTCAGCCAGGTAATCCACACTGATGGTAGTAATCCCTCCTCTGGATGGTATAGGCACCTTTTCTGTGGGGGTAATAGCTCCACATAGGAGCCCCAGAAAACAGGTGCCAGAGATAGTGTAGTATGTTCTTGAATACATTTTATTGGTCAATAACAGAACAGGGCAGTATGCATATCACAAAATTGATTGAGAGTGAAAAACAGCAGTACTGACCCCAATAAAGGTGGCCGCCGGGCCTCCTCGTGGCTCCGGCGGTGAAATGACGTCACGCTCTGCACAGCTCCTCCTTAGGCCTTTCGTGCTACAGGCACATCATCAGAGGGGAGGCTTGTTTTAAAATCAAACACCACCGAAAGAAAACTCAATTTGTGGTAAAAAAAAGGACGTAAATTTAATTTGGGCGCAGTGTTGCATGACCGCGCAATTGTCAGTTAAAGCAATGCAGCGCCATAACGCAAACCACTTCTTTAAGGACCCCTCAACAATTTTTAGAAGAACCCTAGGATTCCAAGGAACCCTGGTTGAAAAAGGCAGCCTAATGATGATACTAAAAATATATCCTTATTCTCTAAAAATAATCCATACACATCTACTAGTTTGTGGTCTCCTTACATTTCAGGTTATGACCCGATACTAACCATTTGGATATTTTTCATTCCACCCTAGCTAAAATATTGTTACCTTGCTTTTAACTCATATGGGTGGTATATCTGCTTCTGTGCCCATCATTTCGTGCCCACCCCAGGAAGCCACCATGGGGGAGACATGCTGGTGCCACTATCTGTTTTCTTGTGTTCCTTGTGATGTACAGAATGACGTTGTCAGGAAACCTTCTACTAATCATTGTGGTGGGAATAAACCCTACAGACCCCCATGTAACCTCTCCATTATTGATATATGTGTCTCATCTGCCATCATTCCCAAAAATTCTTATAAACACTCTGGCTATGGATCCAAGTATCTCCTTGATGGGATGTGCATTACAGATCTACCTCCATTTGGCTCTAGGATCAACACAGTGTCTCATACTAGTCTTTATGGCCTATGACAGGTTTGCTGCCATCTGTAGACTATTGCACTACAAAACAATCATGAACAAAACATTGTGTGCCAGTTTATCTACAGTGTCATGGAGTATGGGATTCATGAACTCTACCGTCCATGTTGTCCTCACTTTTCAGCTCCCTTTCTGCAAGTCTCAATCACTTTTTTTGTGAAATGCCACCTTTCTTTCACCTTTCCTGTCGAGACATGCAGCTAAATGAAATAGTCACATATTATTATCGCTATGTGTTCTTACTTGTTGACGCTAATTTCATATGTTCACATCATCTCCACCATCTTGAAGATCCGTTCCTCCAAGGGACGATATAAAGCCTTCTCCATGTGTGCTTCTTACCTGACTGTTGTGGCTCTCTACCATGGTACCATCATGATTTTGTATCTGAGACCCTGCTCTACTTACGCTGCAGAGATAGTCACATATTATTATCGCTCTGTGTTCTTACTTGTTGACGCTAATTTCATATGTTCACATCATCTCCACCATCTTGAAGATCCGTTCCTCCAAGGGACGATATAAAGCCTTCTCCACGTGTGCTTCTGTTGTGGCTCTCTAGTATGGTACCATCATGATTTTGTATCTGAGACCCCGCTCTACTTACGCTGCAGAGATAGACAAAGTTGTGTCTATTCTCTATACAACTGTAACACCAATGGTGAACCCCATCATCTACAGTAAGAGGAACAAGGAATTTAAAAAAATGTTCTCATAAAACAAAACGCAAATTCAAAATTACTACTGGAAAATGCCAATGTAGGAAAATGAATGTTATATCTTTCTTTGTGTTTAACCTAGAGACTACCATGTAAAAATGGTATCCATTTGGAAGACCCATTTTACATCTTTTGGATCATGAGTGGGTTGTACTACAAACCCAACAGAAAACCTGTCTACCTGTGCAGTATAACATTCTGGAAATGCTTACCTTAATGCCACCACTCAAGTTTTTAGATGCCTTTTCTGAAAGCACAAGTGACTTCAAGAGGAATATAAATATTTAAGTGTCTGTAAGGCAGGCCATAAATGATCCGATTTTCTTTCCTGCAACCACGGGTTGCAGGACCACAAATCACTTGGTTCCTCCATCAACACAATCATTGTTAATAGTGAAATCCTTCCCACAGAGCTATTGTGTTCTGCTGGCAGGGATGGCTCCCAGTGCAGGGGCGGACTGACCATTTGGAAACTCTGGCACTGCCCGAGGGCCCGGGGTCAGTAGGGGGCCCCATGAGATGCCCCTGATACCTTTTTCATAGGCTTTTTTGAGTTTGGGCAAGGACACAGGGGCCCCATGATCCCCTATTGCCCGGGGGCCCCATAAGTTGTCAGCCCGCCCCTGTCCCAGTGATTATTAATTGCAATGCCACTCCAAAATAAATCTAATAATATGAAGTACCCCTTATAGCATATACTTCACCTTCACCCCTGAAGATGTAACTAATAATAAACAATAAATATGCCACCTAAATAAATAACGCCCCAGAGAGTAAAATTCAAAAAATTAAAAAATAAAAATAATAATAAAAATAAAAATAATAATCAAAGTTTGATTATTATTTTTATTTTTTTTTTTATTTTTTTAATTTTACTCTGTGGGGCGTTATTTATTTAGGTGGCATATTTATTGTTTATTCCTAGTGATTATTGCTAGCACCTATAGCCATTGGAAATAATGGCATGTTCAAAAATTGAACTTTGGTACAATTAACCTGCCCATGTAAGGTTCCAATCTCAGCTGGTCTTTGTTGAACTAGCCGAGATTAGAAACCATCTATGGTGGCTTAAAGGTTATCCAGGTCATGGTATACCTAATAGTAGTTAGGGACACTCTTTAAGGACTGTGAGGTGTAACATTTGGAAAGAGAAGACAACTGGCTCACAAGCAGGGGCGGACTGACAACTCATGGGGCCCCCAGGCAATAGGGGATCATGAGGCCCCTGTGTCCTTGCCCAAACTCAAAAAAGCCTATGAAAAAGGTACCAGGGGCATGTCATGGGGCCCCCAGCAGTGCCCGAGTTTCCAAATGGTCAGTCCGCCCTTGCTCACAAGAGCTGTGAAAGAAGCCATCTACATTAAATGGGAACAACTATCCTTAAACAGTGGTTGTGGGACCTTCAATACCATTGTCACCCACATACACTCCCCGGCCACTTTATTAGGTACATCTGTTCAATTGTTCGGTAACACAAATTGCTAATCAGCCAATCACATGGCAGCAACTCAATGCATTTAGGCATCTAGACGTGGTTAAGATGACTTGCTGAAGTTCAAACTGAGCATCAGAATGGGGAAGAAAGGGGATTTAGGTGACTTTGAAGGTAGCATGGTGGTTGGTGCCAGACGGGCTGGTCTGAGTATTTCAAAAACTGCTGATTGATTGGGATTTTCACACACAACCATCTCTAGGGTTTACAGAGAAAAAGAGAAAATATCCAGTTGTATGGACAAAAATGCCTTGTTGATGTCAGAGGTCAGAGGAGAATGGGCAGACTGGTTGCTGCGACATTCAGATGGTAGGGTCAGAATCTGGTGTAATCAACCTGGAAGCATGGATCCATCCTGCCTTGTATCAATGGTCCAAGCTGGTGGTGGTGGTGTAATGGTGTGGGCAGGGGCGGACTGACAACTCATG